TTAGGCCCTTCGGCAATTCAGTCGTCGCTGTCAAATTAAGGAAAACGATAAGTTCACTTGGGGCGTCTCTTGTTCTTAACTCATGATAAACACGCTATGCTTCCGTGTTCAGGACGTGTGATACCTTGAAAAACACCCTCTTCAACGAACATTGGAATTTCAACCGCCAGATACAGCAACATACGGTTATGGGTCGATTTGACGCAAATTTAAGGACAGCAGGCTTCAGCCTGTCGAGTGCCACCACATTTGCTAGCTCTGTTTTTCCCAAATTATTAGAAATCTGTAAACAGCAGTTGGCGCAATCATTGAACTAAAAAAATTAAAAGCCGTTACCAGAAATCGCTTCTGCGACCCCTTTTATAGTGTTCGTCGGGATTATTATCTCCTAACGTCGTTAATCGATATGGTTGACTTTCATGTAATAATCATTGTCCGGCCGAATTTAATGAACTTGATGATTTTAGCAGTAGGAGTGATTTCCTTTTTGCAAACACTCCTCTTTCTCGTAAACTCGATACTCTCAGTATTGGTTTATTTCAAGACCTACTTCCATGACACAGTTGTTCAAAGTTGCTAGTACTTAGCCCAAATAGAATCTGCTCGTACTATAGATTACGATGTCGCCGGCATATTTGATTATTCTTGATTAACGCCGCATTTTACTGCTGGATACGTGAAAGGAAGTCGCTAGTAAAGGAAAAAACAATGGACTTAAGCCGTCACCTCAAGAGAATCCCGTCTCCGAGACAAAAATATATTTTGTCTCAATGACACTACCGTCTAGTGTAATAAGGTTTTCAAATATAGCTTTCAACGGAATTAGTATTTTAATTTTTTCCTTATTTCGTTCACAAATTATAACCGTCGCTTGTTTTGCCCATCACACATCCGAAACGACACACTCTGCCATGCAGACGGCGAAGTGTCCAACATAGTCTTCCTGATATCCCCATCGAATATTTTGTCGGGCTCACGAGCTTTTCATTCGGGCAGTCCGGAGATACTTTTCACTACCTGAGATATCGTAAACTCGCTTTGAAAACCTTCAATCGAGTCGGAAGTCGTCTGACTACGGTGACGGGCGGATATTCAGCAGCTCGACTCGGATCATCTTGCTCGTAGTTAGAATGTTTCGAAAGTAAACTTCGAAGTCTTTCTGTTGGACTGGACAGCTTGTCGTCGCAGCTTTTGAAAATTGGACCCAAAAGCAAATAGTATTGCAGTAACTTAGACCCACGCTTCTTTCCAAAGTCGACTTGAAGCGCTTGAGACAATGTTTGTATATTTCTTTAACCTGAAAGCAATCAGTATATCTGTATTATTCGAATTCTTTTACTTGCTGTGGGGTATATTTCACCTGAAAACTCCATCGCGGGGATCGCTTAGAGGCCGGACACCTCACAGCAGGATATGATTCGGCTCCTGGATTCTATGTGTAAAGGAAAATAACGCTGGTTGCTGTTTGAAATTTGCTTGGATCTAACTTTCGACTATCAATGCGACATTCATGAAGGCAATCTTGCAGGGCTTTGAGGGAAACTTCTACACACATGAAAACGTGCGGGGTCAGTCGCGAGCCTTTGCGACGTGGGCTTTCCGTGCTAAGATATAGCATTTTCTCATAGTGATGTTAGCCGCAAACACATTACTGATAAATGCATAAGCTATATAAATCTTTAGGTTTTCAGCAATATGACAACATTGAAAGCCGATTTTCTGTAGGATCTTCCAGAATGTAGCTATTAGACCAGTGCTCGTTCTGCCGATTATGGTAGTGAAGCCGCACGCCACTACCGTGGGCATATCTCTCACAAATCAATAGTCTTGTAACAACTTTCCACCGTTTCTTTCGATTTTTCTATGTTGAGACATTGAACATACAGGCTCTCCTTCATTCTTCGATAAGCACACGATTATTTTCAGTAATCTCTTTCTTCAATGGATTTAGACTTTCGTTGTAATAAATTGGTACCACTAACACGATCGATCTCACTAATACAATTACTGACGCATGAGGCCGCATAGAATTTTGGCAGCGGCGTTACTTAGCGTCGGCATCTCCGCGAGAGGCTGCAGCTGCGTCAGGAGTATAGAACTCACTACAAATCCCCAGTTTTATTGGAAGGCTGTAAACGAAAAGACAAGATTATATCCTTGAATGTCAAATTTGTACTCGAAAGTAGTTCCAAATGTTGAGCGAAACAAACCTTAAAATAACCTCAAGCTACAGATACCGTGTGTAAACTAATCACTATAATCATTTCCCATAAATACCACAAGATATATACAAATTTAAGCTTTACCCCGTTCAGCAAATACGATCATCGCTTGTGGGGCAACAATGCCTTGTAGATGAGTGCCATATTTACCAAAAATATATATTAGAAAGGTTCCATTGTTTTATAACTGGCAAAAAAAATTGCCAAATGAGTCTGTGATACCCGCACCTATGTTTAGCGTTGAATATAATATATCAAGTGCATATATTTGGTACTGTTAAGTTCGTAGTTGAATGAACTTCCAATTGATGGTACAAACAACAATATGAAACAAATAAAAATATGCTTAATTAGCACAAATATATGACATTTTGGATCACTGAGTCATTTTCCTTTTTGGTTGTATGGCAATTGGCAGGGCTTGATTTAGCTTTGAACGCTGTTTCCCCTGATCCTGTGAACCAATGACACAGATCCTATGAAATCACGATAAACTCACACAGGTTTGTGATTCAGCATAGTTCTTACCTTTAAAATGTTTTCAGCCGCCGTTCAAACTGATTACTAAGATTTTAATACACATTTTTAAATAAATGATCGGATAAAATATTTGATAGATAACTATTTTCATTTCGAGAGTCAAAATTTTGCAGACGAATTGCGTGAGTCATTGGATAAATCCGTGATCATTCGGTTATGACTTACAACTGATAGTTCATGCATACTTCTGCCAACTCAAGCGAATGTTAAATTTCCTAATAATCGTTTATAAGATTTGTTACGGAGGCGCGAATGAACCTACCGATATGCATGTGCATATGAGTCTACTTAACTAAAGAGACCCCGTTCTGAAGTCGACGTAGATGCCGGAGGAAGATGCGCGTCGAAGATAGGATTCGTTCAACTAATAGTATGGGGGGCGGGGGGTGGCTTGCCTGAACAAGTGTGATTGCATCCTGTCTCGACTTGGGCGTGCAGCTTTTTGGCGACAGAGTACGTATCGATGCTAAAAGGATCTATGGTCTTACAAAGGGATAAAGTACAGAGGGATCGAGGCTTAAAAATAAGAAGGTCGGGATAAGGTAGTGCAGTTGAAAGGTTAGCCGAGCCGAGCAGAGCCGAAAAGAATAGGCCGAGCACGTCGAAGAAGAGAGTAAGAGAAGGTGGAGCTTTTAATCAAGGAATCGAGGCTGGCAGGGTTAGACTTTTCGAGTTTTGTCATAAGCAAGACCCCTTCCGGGGTGTTTGTCCCCTTGGAGCCAACAAGCAAAGCGCCCTGTGTTTGCTAGACAGTTCAGCCAGTGCAAGGCCGTTGCTAAAGAGCTGCCTCACTCTGTCTACCAGCAACAATGACGCACATTGCATGCACCCTCCTCCCCTGCTGTCTGCTCAATTAGGACAAGAAATTAGGATGCCCTCAGTGTTCGATTTAAAGCGACTCAATCAAGTTCCTTCATGTCCTCCTACGAAATGAACCTTCGCAACTAATACTATATTTTCCGCTTCCGATCTGCTTCGAAAACCCTTGCAGAAGCTCAGACTCACTAATTACTCTAGCGAATACCCAGCCACCAAACTCCTAATTCGCCACCGCTCACTGCGACGTTCCATTGGCACAATCCCAATCAGTAGCTATATAATACGCTTATAATAGAAAAAAATATACATGCCGAACTGGTATGAGGTTGCTTGGCCTGAACATAACAGCTCAAGCGATGCTTCGATAAATAAATGCCGAAATCTAATCTAACATACAATTCTTGTTCTCAATGCTCCATGTAGGATTCCAAACACACTTTATCGTTTATAGTATCAGTGTGTATTCTATTTAGGCAGGTTTCGCCTAGGGTTAAATTGTGCTGACACGTCGCTAAAGCGTTTGGCTGAATCGCCTCAGCCAGTGACTCAAATACTCTTTTCCAAAAAAAGCGAATCCTTATTCTTGTTGTAGCTCAGCCGCATGTTGTTACCGAACAAATGGTGGCGCTTTAATCTATATATATATATATATATATATATATACATTAGTATTACCAAAAAAGTATTGGCAGTTTTTAGCAAGGAGTCTTAATCATGCCCTATGTAAGTCGTGTCGAATCGACGTTAGTGTCCTTTAAAATAAGAGATTTGACGGTAGTAGATGTGTTAAAACTGTTGGAATGCCTCAATTCAGAAATAGAGCGCCTCGAAAGTGGGTTGAGTATTATGTCCGTCGCATAGGCTGGATCTTGTACTTTCGAACTTGTCTCAGTCCCTGTAGAACTCTTTTCAATGGTGTTTACCTCTGTATCGCCATTAGGCTCCCAGTACGAAACAAAGCGTATTTATGCCTGAATTCAAACGTATCCTAGGATTCACAGGCAAATACGTTACCTACTAATCTACTACTATTATGGGGTTCATCTAATTTAAATGGAGGTGCGGATAAATCCATTTTTATAGTGATGAAATTACCAAACAATTTTAGAAGATTAACCAGTCTTCAGCTACTAATCTTAGGGCACCTTCAATTTAATAATAATAGTGCTTTAACGTTGGCTTAAGAACGGCCAGCAATTATATATATATATATATATATATATATATATATATATATAATTTATCACCATATACGACACGCTCGTTCAATACAACATTAAATAGGTATTAGTCATTTCAATGTTTGCACAAGATCGTTACTGGAAGTCATAAAGTAATCAACTGTCAACGAAATTGTGTGAAGACCACAATTTTCTTTAGAGGGCAAGAAGCTTTTATCACCTAGAGTGCAAACAATACAATCATGGAGCAGTATGTCGTCGAAAGCGTGTAATTCCCGCTCGGCTTACTACGCCGTACGTGATGTTGCTTCATTAAATCTCAGACACATACCTACAGACACATAGTGACAAAGTCGCACATTAGCCACGCCTCTCGCTATATTTATCGTGTCGTTGTTAAAATGGGTGGGTTGCCCGAATTTTCCACTGCCGGTATGACGCTTTCCACAGAAATTTTCTACGAAGTATCGTCATCGTAAGTCAAACCGTAAAGCACTCTTTCATACGGCTTTTCGGCTTTCTCTGATCTTTCTTTTTTGTCTTTTTCTTTTTCTTTAAAGGCTTTTTGCCTTTTGTTCTTTTCCGTGGTGGTGTATTCCGTTCTAGTTTGCGAAACTGTTCTGTACTCGCCAAGCATTTATTGACATAATAAGCACCTGGATGTTCTTCACTTACGTCAGGCGGCTGCGGAGGGCCTGGTGGCTCCGAACTCGCTTCAACGTAATCGCCCTTCTTCATCACGTTAGTGTCAAGCATTTCCATCTGAAGCGAGCGGACAATAGCTAATCGAGTACGACATGATGGAAGTATGCATTTCGGTGTCGAATGGAAACCACGTACCAGCAGTGTGTACAATCGGGCCAAATGCTGTGCACATGGATCCGGAATCCTCATTGAACACATTAGGTCGGATAGCTGGTTTAAAACCTCATCGTCTGAGGTTATCACACATATTACGTTGTGTTGTCGAATAGTAGGAAGATTCTGTCGGATTGCTCGACAATGAAATAACTCTACATTGTCTAGAACAAGCACTGCGGAGCGTAGTTCTGCAAATCGATTAAATATGAGGTTCAACTCGACAATATCTCGTGTATCTACGTACACCGACACCCGAGCGATCTTTTGCAGGACGAAACGAATTAGCATTGTTTTGCCTTGGCCGCTATTACCTATTATCAAGACGCCGTTTCTTGTTTTTAGCGCATATTCCAGTAGCTTATCAGCATCGTCCAAGTCTAGCGGGGAGAGACAGTGTTTTGTAGAGCTGATACCAGGAATAAGCTCCCACGAGAAGATAGACCGACGAAGGGCCCGTCGATGTTCGGCTTCGGGTGCCAATTTAGGACGAGAACACTTCTGTAGCTCAATTTGAACAAATTGGGCGGCTTCATTCAAGAGTCGCAGTGCCCGATTATTGTTTTCCAATACGGTCGGAATTTGGTCGACTCTTTTGACGAACACATCTCTTGAAAGGGAGGTTATTTGTAATATCAGCGACTTTAACGTTTCCTCAAGCTTTTCTTTCTGTTTAGAAGTAGTTGCACTTTGTCGTTTGTTCAGCATGACCACGACTGCTTTGTCAGTCTTCATCTAATTTTGAATGAAATCAGGCCAACGGGGAATTTGGTGCAAGTACTTAGGGCACCGGCAGCTTGCCTCTTGCTTTTTTTGGGTAGACGTCTACCTTCGCCGTGAAAGGAAACTGAATTTGCCTACACATATAAATAGTCTCTCGTTTTAATTTTGCTTGAAATCGAAATGAACACGATCATAATCGACCGTAGTCTGCAACGAGGCGTGTCAAGATCTGCTGCTCAAAATAGTATACGAGTGACATTTGTAATAGAACTTAAAGGAACGTTTGGTAAAGATAGGGGAAATAGGTTAAACATACTTGATTGCACAGAGAACTTCGTAGGTCCCGCTTCTATCAGATAATTGGCGACTATACCGCCAGCGCTACGTTGGTTGAATATATTAACTATTCTCTAAGCAGATTTGGTTAGTGGGTGCAATTACATATTACCAAATAAGAAACAAGTGAATACCAACACTCATATAATTCGGCACAATTTTTCGTTCTTTGACTGTAAAAGCATCGTAATATGCCAAAATGGCCTACTGCAAACCATCGGTTTGGAAATACGTATCGGATCAGCTGTGCGATCCGGCTCGTATTGGCACAATAAAATCAATCAATTCTATTAAAATTGCGGTTATATTAACAACGTAAGCCTATTGCAGCACTGGCCTCTTCAAGAGTGCGTTGTATCAACATTCATTTACTACGACTTCGGGTTGCCTCACTTCAGCAACCATCTCGAAAATACTCAGTACGTATAAAAAAGATTCAGCGTATATAATACGTAACATAAATTCTAGGCCGGTTAGGTCCGTATATATAAATCAAAATGCTTGCTTTGTCAAAAAACTAACGGACCTTAATAGGGTACTGCTACCGTTAGACAGTGGACCTATGTTACCCAACAAAGTGCAAAGGCAAATGTGTTTTATTCTGCTTAAAAGTAAAAATCCTATTATTTACGCATGATATTGTAATTGATGTTACCGTATCCTCCTAACCAAATATGAAAAACCTATGCGGATCGATGATCTTACCATGTTTAGGCTAAGGTGTATAAGTGGGACAAGCTAATTATAGGAATATCCGTCGTAAAAACGCACACTGAGCTTGCACAAAAAGGGGTTTGCCTCGTATGAGTAGCAAGGTATTCTTGGATAAAAAAAAAATAACGTCTTATTAGAAACTGCGATTTAGGCGATAATCGCAGAAATTGAAGTCTTCACTGTGATGTAATATTCTAATCAAAATATAGGATAAACACAATCAACATGAAACTTTCTATACTTTAAACTTGTTAGGACCTCCTACAACAAGAGAAGACAACGTTAAATGCTTGTCATATGTATACAGTCTAGCGTTATTCTCGTCCACCTGGTTCAATGATATTTTACTTTAAAATAAAGAATTTTATTATATATATATATATATATATATATATATATATACTCACGGGTCGAAAGAAAGAACATTCTCAATAGAAACAAGCGTAAATGTTCTTTATTTTAGAGATATGAGATAATGTGCAGACGGCAATGTAGAACGCAAAACTCTATTGAGGTCGTAGTGTTAGCAGCTTTGGCTTTTTAGACGACTATGTTTTTTATGTTCCCAAACTGTTTCAAGCGAAACATGGGGCCTATACAATTTCCTAACTTTTGGCGCTACATTGGCGAAATCAAGTACTTCTTAGTATAATGTTTTTTAACTTTAGCGTTTACCTTTTTGTTATCTACCCATATAAGATTCCCCTTGATTAGGCAGTGAAAATGGCTTTCGGGTATATCTTAACTCAAATATTAAACTAGATTTACTTAAACCATTTTTTGTGTTATCAATTTTCGATTATATCACGCTTGTCTGTACGTGTTTATACATAGCACTATTTTTTTTCTTAATACAAATAACGCTGTTTTCTAACACGCGGTTCAAGTCTATTCCCTGTTTTCGCAGATATACGCGTACACACACAGAGAAAGCCAAAAGTCTGCAAACGCGGAGCTCCTTTTCCACACCTATTATAGTTGTGCAACACATAGCAGCATAGTCCCTATATAGTTCATACAATATATTATAAGGCCAAAAGAGGTAGTATTTATGTAAAATGTAAGCAAGAAGAGTATTATCTAATTTTAGAATAAGCCAGGTACATGTCGCTAGTATTCGAATTTATGGCTTTTATTATTTATACATTTTTGCAGTCTGACGTATGTGTCGAATTTATTTCCAACAAATATCTGGCCCAAAAGAAGTACTGCATATGAATACTATGAAGTTTTCAACGCATGTTTGATTTAGTAACTTTGCAGTTTCTTCGCGGGTTTGTATGTCTGCCATACTTGGGCATCACAAGTAGATTTAGAGGCTCCGAACGTATCGCATAGATTTGCCCCTTCGGTATGCAACTTTAACGCCTTCAGTCGTTCAGTATTACATGACGATCTGCTTGATCATTGATTAAAACCACGTTCAAATAACCGGTATACAAAGCTAATAAAAAATGATAATAGAGAGTAGTTAGACTAGATGACCAGCACGCAACGTCTCTTTTGTGACCGTTTTCACACGACACAATTCGGATGCAGCACTTTAGTCATACTGAAGTCGGATCTAATCGTTCTGAGTGCTAAGTTGCGTCGGTCAGCGTCCGAGTCTCCGCCGAGCTAATGTCGAATCCGATCACTGCGGCGGATTAACATTACATTATAAGTTGGAAAGAAGTTTCCCCTATAAAAGTATGTGTTTAATAAGCTTCACTGTTACGCGGATCTTCCCAGAATGATGTTCTATTGACACGGAGACAATCAGCTTAACCAGTTTCCACTAAAGGGTCTACTAAAAGCAAGCAACTAGGCGAACGCCTAACCAGGTTTTGCCTTGTATCTAATTTAATAATCAGATTCAGTGATATTGCATTCAACCTAATGTAAGCTATAAAGTAAACCACTAGCGATCCCGTTGCACTTACCCGTCCCACTTAACTCGTTAGCTTTTCGCAGTTATTTCAGTAGCCTCTTCTGACACGCTCGCTAAGGGACTTTGACACTTCATGCTATGTAAACTTTTTTATGACACGATCACTGGCCTTTTTTACTGATGGTTGATTTATTCTGTTTATGGAACGCGCCTGAATACTTTGGTCGGCGGACAACACTTGATTAAATACGTGAATCGAATCGTTTGACGGACGTTACTGTTGATAGAGTCAGCTGATCCATATATTTTCCTTCTAAGATGTCCCAAGGCTTAACGTTTTTTAAATATTTTTTTACACAGATCATATAAAATAAATATTAACCCAAGTTCCGGGATTTCAACAAAACCTGCGTACTTTCATCCTTGTTTTTTTTTTTTTCTAGTAAATAGCTACAGGTTTTACTGATATAAAAAACACTTAATGATGAGTTTGTGTTTTTTTTAGTTGATGTATTGACTCTGTAGTTGAGACATCACATACGTTTAGCGATCTTCTAAATATTCTTGCAATTTCTTTTTAATAAATAGTTACATATATTATACTGAACACAAATATTTGATATGTCTATTCTATTGCTGGGATATCACTAGAAGCTAGATACATTTTAGCTTTTTTTTTTTTTTTTTTTTTTTTTTTTGATAATAAATACCTACATGTATCATTTCGACATTGTGGCAAATTCCTGTGAAAAGAAATCAGGGAAGATTTAGATCAATAACAAATCACGCTCCAGACAGCCACAAAAGGTGCTGGAAGTCAGCTATCTAAAGTAATGCCTAAGGTTTAAGTACTGTACATAAAAATGGGGTAATATATAGTCCCCGTGGGGCAACGCATTTGTCCGCTAGTCTCCGGGACACGTGGCGGTCGAGGTTCGAATCCGGGTGTAGACACATTTCGTTTCGTGATGGCAGTCAGCCGTCTAATATGACGCTTAACGACAGCGCCGGGCTTGAATATCGAAAAATCTAGGAGTGCCGCGAGAAACGGTTTTTTTAGGAAAATGTCGCGCCGCAGACCCAAGACCTCTCGGCACACCTAGGAGTGACCCAAATGCCTGTTGTTAATAGTTGGCATACACTATGTAAAGGAAAGAAAGTGAGTCCATTATTTGAGGACTACAATAACGGTTAGTGAACAAAAATACATGGACAAAGCAAGGATATATGCATATATTGATAACGAGATAGCGGTCTATAGGGACGAATGAAAGTTTCATAAGGGAAATTTGGCTAGCATACTAGCCTTAGCGATATCTTAAGTTTAGGCTCTTTTCTGTCTCGTTCCCTGTTCGAAGCAAATCTCTAATTATCATATTTTATCCCTTTATTTCTGGACCTAGCCATCCAGATCAGGTGCTCCTTCTCATACTTTTCTAGCAAGATAACGAACATAACTAACTACGTAAATTGTACTTGTGTCTTCCTCACGTGCCAAGCAACGAGCGATAAGAACGGTAACACAGTGATAATAATACGCTGATTGATACAGTTATTGTGATAACACGATGTTTTATTCTTGCACGATTGATTGCACCTTATAATCACATCAGTATTAATAATAAATAATATAATATAATAACTATATAAATGCACTATGAGCTGGTAGACATGTAAGAAAAGTACAAAATGCGCTGTCATATTTTCTGTAGAGATATGTGCACACATTAATTCTCGATCAATATCACATGGCGTGGTCCGGTAACCACCCCACAGTGTCTAGAAACAACACTGAATAGTCATGTTGTTACTATCTTTCTAGTGATGTATTTATAATGTGTTACATTAATGGTATTAGCAACATAGTGTGTTGTTTGTAGTTCTTTATATCGTTGTTATTATAATAATGATCCATACAGGTTAGTTTAATAGTTTTTCATCCATAAGGCCATGTGCGACCCTGGTCAGAATCACCAGCAATAACTACAGTGCTATTGTTAACTCAGAATTAGAGATAAACATTGATGTAGCGGGCCGAAATCCTTAGTCAGTTACAACTGAAGATGGGTCAACGTTGGGTCAGATCTCAATTCACTGCAACTCCATTAAAATGAAGTAGAGTCCTCGAAGACGAACGGCTACAATAACGAGCTTTCATCGTAAATGTATTGCTTTTCATTTAAAAATACGTCATTGATTGGAACAATAGGACATAAAAAAAACGCATGTGTTACCGATAAACCCGCTGAACTGACCTGTTACGCCCTGTTGTAATTATTCAGTTCAAACAATTCTAGTGAAATTCTGCCTTTTCAATAGACTTCTCAACAATAAACTATGCTAATATCAATGCAGTCATGTATCATTACAGAGAGCAAGCTAGTCATCAAATTTAGAGCATCACTTAGCCTCAACTCCCCGTGAGCGCTCGGAGCTACGTCAGGTTGGACCTTATGACCTGGTAGGCGCAAAAGGTCCAACAAATTATAGATGTATGTATACATGAACGCTATAAAGGCCTATTGGATCAAATTATGTTCAATGTCGTTCGTCAATTGTCCATCAATAAGCAGCAAACAAACAAACAAATTTACTGTCGTAAAGCCGATTGGCTTTTCTCCATGCTTTATGATGGCTCATGTATACTTCTTAATACTAATTCATTAGATTTGGTATTCCGATTGTTGTATCATAGGGTTTGATAGTTTCGTCATGTTCATAATATCCTTTTTTCCCATAGAATACACACCCTGCTGTTATTATTTATATTGCAAAAAATATGGCGCTGTGTTGCTTTTAGTAGCACATACGGGCTTCGGCTTTCCGAAATGAACATTGGGTTGCAACCAATTAATTATCAGTTCCAATCGCTAAAGCACAGACTACGTAAGGCTAATTGGTCCTGGCTGTAGGCGTTTTAAACGACTCCGGATTTGAAAGCCTAACAAATAAACCTTTTCGAACTTACAGAGAAAATCGTATCGTGCAACTTGTGTAAATGTAATACATATGCAGTTCCAGCGAATCGATAGGTGTGAAAATCACCTGCCTAGTCTAGTCTAGTCTAGTCTAGTCTAGTCTAGTCACGGTTATTTGACAGGCCCAACAACATTCTAGACGTAAGGTAGGGCTTATTCCAGACGCCTGGCAGACGATCCAGTAAACAGCCGAGTCGCAGACCCGGCCGAGTTTGTGTCTCCTGCCGCCGCTGTTGCCATGCCTCGTGCCGTCGTGCTTATTTTTGGCATTGTAGTAGTTACGGCTCGGCAAGTGCTATAGAAGGCGGCAAAGGGGCGCATCCCTATTCGCTCTCTTTGATCCACTTAAGGAGGTCAGGCGTGAAGTAGGTTATAATGACATCAGTGCCTGCACGCCGGAACGAAGTCATGCTTTCAAGAACGGCGCTGCGTAACTCTAATGCCCCGCTTCGCGCCGCATGGTACAACATCGCAAATTCGCCTGACACCTAATGAAAAGTTGAACTGGCTTTGTCAATAATGTCCTCTTGCTCAAACTATAGCTGATATAAGGTCTCACGTCCGCCAATTTGTCATAAAACTACATTTAAAAACAAGTAACGTAGCGACTGGTATGTTTGGGAAAGGAGACCAGTGGCCGCTAGTGACCACTAATAATAATCAGAGAGTCATTAAACGTGCATTGTTTTTGCAACGGTTTACAAGGACAGTTACATCTTGTGTTCTACTAGAATACTAATAAACACAGGCCTATTTACCGTAGGCAACCAATTGTTTTTATCCTTTCAACCTTTTATGAGTTTAGTCTTCGGTTACGTTTAGCAAAAAAGAAAAGAGGCAACTAATACTTAGTGAAAGTGCTTAAGAACTGTACATTCCTTCTACCCAAGCGTACTTTACAAGTTGATCTTTTTGTACGTAAAACTACCGGGGGACCACAATACTATTCGGAAACGACCATAGAAACTCAACGTTTTTGTTGCAAAGAAAAATCATTCGTGAACGTGATAGGCTTCAGTGAACTGAACATATTTACTGATTGGACCATAAGACCGTTAAAAATTAATCTGTGTAGTTTTGACAGACACCACTTGGAAATACACGCGAGTACATATTAGCCATTGTTTTCATTGGCAATCAATTGTTGCAGGTGGGGACGAGTTAGTGCGTTTGTTCAAAGTCAGCTGAGTAAAAATTAATGAAGAGTTTATGTCCAAGAATACTAGAGTTAAAATTTAATTTCGTCTAAGTGCAGCTTAGCAAACAATAGTATCCCTTTCATTCATTGTGTATCCATCAAATTCACACTGCGAATAGCGAGTTCAGAGTGAAACAATTTTTTGTTACTACCCGCCTTGATTCCGATACAAGCTAAGTGATTGTTAGAATTCTAAAAGTAAATGGATTCTGACTCGAATGTTGAAGCTTGTCATGAAAATTCGTGAAATTCATGAAACATCGTGGCGATTACCTACGACCAATCCACGAACCCTCAAAAAAGGATCGTACTGGAACGTCAATGTATGCTAGCGTTAAATTCAAACGGTAACGACCTCGGGCGTACATCATGCGAATTCTTATAGTCTTACTATTGCACAGGATATCGGTTAAACCTGCCTATGAGCCCTATGAGGTGTCTATGCCAGTGGAGAGAACGAATTCGGCCTTTTATTCGACGTGAGTATTCTGTAGTTACCATAATCAAAAATAGTTGATAGCTAGAGATAGGGGAGGTTAAGCTCACAAAATAACCCGGCCTCGTAAAGCTATAAGCCCTGGCACACATTACAGTTCGGCACTTCATTATTGAGGAATTTATCCGTACGCTCCTTATTCTTTTCAACATTAGTGAACTGCTTTATCGGGTGTGAACTCAAGGAAATCACTATCGTCTTCAATAATTCACTTGTTGAAACGCCCAAAACCATACTTTATTTTTTACCAATTTTCTGTAATGTGCCAAACTATGGGTCCAAGCTAAAAGACAATTTTCCCTTAGCATGGTACAAAGGAAAGGTATGTTACTATACAAGGAACTTCGTTTAAACGATCCGTTACGTATAAGTTAAATGTAAGTTTAACTGATAGTCGATAGACAAGAAGAAAGCTGCCCTTAGATTGCGACGATAATAGACATTTTCATCAGCAGTCTTATTTTTGATGGTAGAATAACAGACGTGATACAGTATTCGAATAATATTTGAGCACTTATTACCACCATTCAGTCTTTGCTAACTGACTTCAAATGGAGCCTCTTCTGCGATCACACAAGCTTCTAAAAGATGCTTGTCGAGAACGATTCCTATTGGGAAAAAATGCTTTATTTGCTGACCTTAATCATCCAATAAGGACTGACCTCGAGCTTTGAAATAACCTGTATAGCATCCGACGAAAGATAACGGAAGTATGCAACCAGTTTATTAATCTATACAAAATTATCCCTTTTATCTACGTAGAGGCTGTTACCTGATATGCAAACATAGGATAGTGGGGAAACTTGTCCTTGAGCTGACGAATTAGGTCTAGGTATGGCATACCGGGTTTAACCATAATCATATCGGCACCTGCAAAGTAACATAAAGATAGGACACAGCCGTCGTTAATCGACATGCGATTCAATGTTTGACGCTAAAACAATAGCATTTTTACTAGAGCTGATGAAGTCTTTGAAACTTTATTATTAAATGTACGATTCCTCTCTTCATTCGTAAGTGATAAAAAAATTAGGTCAATTGTTAGTGCGGGACCTGAAAAGTGTCATAGGGGCCAAAAGAATTGCGTCTCGAACTCATGCGGGATAACTTTAACAACCACTGCCATTTGTATCTAGTATTGTCGTGGACAAACATAATTTAACCTTGCCTACAGTAATTATTTGGTAGCTTCATTTGCTCGATGTACTCAGGACATATACAGATCGTAGTCATGTTTTTCAAGCGTTTCCGGGCGTGTAAGTCCTTCCCGACTCCCTCAAATGCGAGTAGTGTTTTTTTTTTCGGATGGGGAGCTGGCTCAGGAACGTTTTGGGACCCTGAGTGAAGAGCTATAGGCGTAAGCGAATCCATTACCCTACATATCGGCTACCCATAATTTTTACTACTCGATGTCGGCATAGAGACAGCATCTTTAGCTATCCATAGCAGTTTTACGTAGAACCTTGGCACTGGAATTCTGTGTTGCTTAATGCCTGGCTAAACTTTCAAAAAAGACATCCCTGTGCTTTTCACACAGATTTCAAAAAAAGCCAGCCTTGATTTCTTCACAGAACGCTTGATGCCAGATACAAATTGGTTGTCTATACCCATTATTTTTTTGCCAATTTACCTGCTATTCGCACTGACTTCGAATGGTCAACCGTGTTGTGGTGAATCCAATTTATCTTTATCTGTATGTAAATAAAGAAGGCGTCAAACCAAATCCTGTTCACAACACGGTAAGACCGGAACGTTTATTGAGGCGACAGTGTACTTCCGTCTCCCTCAGATAGAAGCAGTAAGTAGTTACTCAAGGTCAGGGAGCAACGAAAGTGTGAATTCAGTCACCCCACACTATCATGGCCAATACCTAAAGCTTGATGTCTGTAAACGGAACTTACACGGGGTAACTTTCAGATAAGCGACTGCTTAAACCAGCCTAACACGTGTTCGAATATATATATATGTATATATATATGTACATATATTGAGTTCGGCACTTATTACGATCAAACGACGTTCCCCACCTTAAGAAAGTACCAAGAATGTCTTCTTATCTGAGTTAGGATTTCATAAGCGCATAGGATTCAACAAGGATCCACAATGACATAAATGGCAGATGAAATGAAAAATGAGGACCAAGGTTAGTACTTTAGACGCACTAAATCCGCCATACGCGTCTCAATTTCACGTTGTAAAAACTCGGCAAGCAATAGCAATCAATGTGATATTATATTTACACTTATTTTTAATAATTTTATTGTTAACAACGTAAAAAGAGACTTTTCTTAGGTAGAACAAACAATTCACATTGACTGCTATGGAGAACGCTGGTAGTGTACCGCATTGAGAAACTGGCCGTGGAAAAGAGCTGGAACTTTTATGAAGCTTCAACTCAGTGATACCATAATACTGTGATCGGCATTAGTCAACAAGAACACCCCATATTGACTATGCTTGATCGAACGCTCTTTCTAGTCTTTATAGAAAGCTGTCAACGACAGTACCATCATTTACAGTAATAATAGCTAAGGCTAAATGTTTACGTGGTTATGACACTTGACATAACTTCGTTTTTAGCTTTTAACTGCTGTAAAAAATTACATAATGGTTCATCAGAAAGTAGGTAATCAAACTTAGCCATACATATTGGCATAGTCAATGCTGACGTATACAAGTTCTCTCGGATAGCAAGTACATATTTTTTACTGTAAAATACATACTGACCTATGAAGGTCTGTAAAAAAGCTATCAAAAATTATAGGAGCACGCCAAACCAGATCATGTACTTTATTCAGAAGGATCGTGAAGTTCAAGCGAATGAGCTTACCCTGTTCAATATCCCTTTGCACAGCCCGCATTGCTAATCCATTGGCTCCAGGTGGCAATTGGTAGCTCTTACGGTCGCCCAAAGCTGGCGCACTTTTCGCCGCGTCCCGGAATGGTCCATAAAAACAGGAAGCAAACTTTGCCGAGTAGCTAAGCACCGACACCGTGTTACCCAGCTGAGCCTTGAATAAGGCGTCCTTTATCGCTAGAATACGGCCATCCTGAAAGCATTAAAGAGTAGCGGTCATCTTATATCGATCAGTATCCTATAACTGGTAACCACTAGCACAGGGAAGAAATATTCAGGTTCATAAGTCGAGTGAAGCCTGCGTATCTGTTCACATTGATTTACACGAGCACGTATAAACAAACAACTTGTATTAATCGTTTATGAAACACATATTTTGCACTAGAATATATATCTACTTACAAAAGGCGTTTACTGTAAATGAATTGCATGAAAAATATGGAGGGCTTTATACCTGATTCCGTCTTGGAAAAGCTATCACAGAAAGACCGGATCGTAATGTGTGCTGATCAAAATGCAACTTGAATGAATGGATTATTTTTAAATATCCAATAAACCAAATTTAGTAGGTAAACGAGAATATCTGAAGGAGCGGCCACTACTTTTGGACCAAGCGTCCTTTTTTGGAGAATAGCTTGTGAAAAATATACATTGAAAAAGTGGCAAGCTAACGTCGTACTGCTGTTGGCGAAATTCACCTGCCTTTCAGTTTCTTACCATCATATCGCTGGGAGCCACGACGTGTGCTCCAGCCCTCGCAAAGCTTAGCGCCATTTGAGCTAACCTCTGATCAGATTTCTCCATGTCGATAACACCTGTCTGTTGAGACAAGATTCCGCAGTGTCCATGCGACGTATAAGCGCAAAGGCACACATCGCAAGCGACCACCAGATCAGGAAAACTTGACCGAATAACGCGAATTGCACCATGAACTGGATTTCGGTCAGGATCTGAACTGAGCGACGCCTCTGTGTCCTTCCCCTCAAAGCCCACGACACCAAACAGCAGAACCGATTTGAGGCCTAATTCATAGACAGGGCGGATCGCATCCGCTATTCTGGAACGAGATGAGTTTGTCATAACTTTAGTAGGTTTTTATCTGTATGTGGCTTGCAGAACAAGCGTAATAAGTGAACTTATTCTTAGATCTACGTAATTAAATCAGCTACACAATAAATACAAGGCACGACCATTCGAGCTGGGTATGGTGCAGGCGAAAGCTATGTGAGAAACTTTAATGAATAAATAATGAAATACGTGCATATTCGCGTGTATGGCTGCAAAGCCAGTGAACACTGGTTCAACCACTGTTGTACGGTGTGCATCGTTTACCTTGTCGATTAAGTGCAATTTCCAAATTGGAGTCGTAAAATCATGAGATCCTTTGGGTAACGCAAAAAAGCTAGTGCTACATTTGTGAGGTAAAACGTTTTCAGAGAAAACAAGCCTTATTTAGGATAAGAGTCCATTCTCAAAAAGGAACAGGTACAGGAGAGAAAGTAAAGAAGACCAAATGAAAACGAAAATCGCAGCTTAACTGCCTTGGAAAAACAACGAGGTGGAACGTGACGAGAGGCCATTCAAAGGGTGTTTAACAGCAGCACAAAGAATTAAATTAAAAAAAAAAAGAAAATCCAAAATAACTAAAAAAAGATGAAAAAATAATATAATAAAAATTGAATGAGCATTAACAGTTTTGTAGAAGAACAAAGAGTATGCATTAGGTGACTATTGAATGCGAACAGATCTGATAGAATACTAAATGCATTTTCTTTTGAAAAAGCAAATGCAATAAAATTTAAGCCATCCGGGCGTTCGCACAAAATGGGCACATAGCTATAGACTGGCCAATAGTAATGTGCGAGAGTTTTTTTAAAGCTTAGGTCTAGAAGATTTGCATATAGTAAATAGTACAATTGGTGAGGACCAAATTACCTTCAAGTATATGGTCGGTGTGCTCGTAGAAAAGGTTTGATATTTAAGGCATGAGGGCGTAAAAGAGGGCCTACAGTTTTGAAAAAAGTCAGATGACAGTTGAACTATGGGTGGTCAATTCGTCATCGTATCTGCCGCTCGCGTAGAGTGATCATTATTTCTCTCTCGTTGTGTTTATAGGCTCATACAAAAAATTCGCATCCTCCTTCTGCCAAACGGGATATACTTGCCCTACCTATTTTTGATTTTCTTCCTACGTGCAACAAGGTAGCTCATATAAATAGTTTTCTCCTTAAGCCTTACAAATCATAAGTATAAGGTTTGCCCGGAAAAGCAAATGTTACATGTTAACATTTAACATAAGTTAACCATTAAGTTGCCCTATACTCTATAATGGCTGCAAATATCAACTAAATAACATATTTGTTTGATTCGCTAAAAAATTACTTCGTTAGCTATAAGGATAGCACACCAGCAAGTAACGTAGACACGTCAATAGAGAATGGATTCTAGAAAAATGACGGACCAGTTATTGTCGTGTGTCCAAGTTTCTCATCGTAAGCTTCTCTCACCTTCATTATCTCAAAAATTAAGGATGCGATAAAAATAATTGGATGTCCTTAATATATGACAATAGGTAAGGTACTTTTAAGAGTAGGAGATACAGTAAGGTGTAGTTGCAAATTCTAAACCTTTAAGGGCTCACATTCAGAAAGCAGCAACAGACCCTGCTAGTAACCGAAAACTTCGATAACAATTCCGTGAATTCTGATGGTGTTCAGTCATCATCTATTGATGCTCGGTTTACACGTACTGGTGGAGCGTTGTTAAGGCTCAGATATGTGGCCGAACTTTTAGTCACGGAACCACACCCAAACAGTCTTCATACCCAAAACTTTTAAAGCCAGCCTGAATATGCAATATTCACTTTGATCATTTGCCCAAATGCGGCTGTAAAAGGGACAGCTCATAAAACTCACCGTTTAAGTGTCAATTGCCGTAAAAAAGGTTTCCTAGGAACTAAGCGATAAAATGTTAGTGTAATTCTCAAATATGTGGCCCTCTGATTTTCGCTGATTGGAGTGGAATTTTATTAAAAACGGAACAGCAGCAATACTATGTAGGATTCGCTTCCAAGAGACGTTTTGTGTTACGCAAGCACTATTGTTCCATGCTTACTTACCATAGAAAAATCCTCTAAAAACTTTTATTTTATAATGGAGTCGTGAAAGCCAGTTTAAATGTCGTCGGAAATTTACTACTGTGTATACAAGTCAAAAGTACCTGCAGCAAAAGATTAACGAATTACAGGATATCACTAAATTTCTCTTGGTTACTGAACTCAAGATCTCGCTCTTGCTAGGTCGATTTTTTTCTAAGGTAGAAGCTTAGATTTGTGTTTAGACTTGCAGAAAGCATAAAGTTCTATAAAATATCCGTTTATGTACCCATAAGTTGGTATTGTTGTCCGCGCGTATATGCTTTATACACTCATTCTTCGTTAAAATATAGGTATTTAATCCATATAGCTATTATGTGTAGTAAAAATAAACTCACGATTTAGTAAAATTACAGCACAATTTGCCCTTTGCCCTCGGTGAAAGTCGATACCTTCGTGTATGTGTCTATTTGTGAGTTTATGTAAGAGCGTAAGCAGGCTGCTCGTGTTAACTAGCTGCCCGAATTCGTAACCTGCCTCGACTTTTATACTGCGTTAGAAGTCAGTGCTAAATAATTTCGGCCGGATTTTATGTTCCTTCACGGAAGCCATGCATTGCGTGGGGCACAACCGAAAACCTGAATCGTAAAAACGATCTGCTTGGTACGCAACGGTGATCTTCTGTACGACCTTTCCACTGAAATGAGACCACCTGGTTCTTAAGCAAGTGTATAGAGAGCGCCAGGTGGGGTAGCCACACAACTTCACGTGTAGAACTCGAACGACTCTATTTCCTTTAACAGTCAAAGTATAAAATGCATAACTACATGAATCAAAGTAAGCTCTTGGGCCACATGCGCACACGGCTGGATATTGCGATTGTCGTTAAAGCCCAAAAGCCATTAATCTAGCAGATAATTACATAGTCAGTAACGCATTTGATGGCTACTCACTGGTCAACCTCAAACCGCTTGTTTGGAATGTTTACCTGGATGCGGAGCAGTGGCTTCACTCAATAATCGTCTTAGGATTTCGTCTCTCCCTCGGTCCATCAAACCATCACTACTTTCCCAGTTTATAAAGACTGCGGCACGACCGTCGCTATGCCACGGACTTGCGGGAGGACTGCAGGAAGGAGAAAAACCGGTTGGTCGCCCGTCGTTGGGTGAGGTAGTGCCAGAGTACTGGACTAACAAGCGAAAGAGCAAGTGAGACAGCGTCGGGCCGCCACAAGCAACGCCCAAACCGCAAGACCGAATCTCGCCAAGGCCATGCATGAGAATGCCTAGGCCTGTGAAGGTGAACATCTGTTAGTGTTCTATGTGCTGCCAGTATACTTGTACAGCTTATCACGCCGATAGTGAAGGACAATCATTGACCGCACTGGAATACTGAAAAGGACCAGATTGAAGCATACTGCCCTACAGCGTTTGCCTTGTAGAAAAGGAGAAGTGGGGGGAATTCGGTTCGTCTAGCGTCAGTTTGCGGCGAGAACACGTTGTCGCTTATGAGCTGGCTCATCGTTCGAGTGCATCACACTTTTAAGCGCAATTAAAGAGAAGCTAGTAGTAGCAAAAGGTGCTGCTCAAAACAACGCTTCTAATGCTCTGGGGATTGCCACAAGCAAGGCGGGGGCAAGTGGCTCGTGAGCCCTTCAAGACCCGACCGAGGAATTCAAAAAGACGCATGTCTACTAGACGGTGTAAAGATAAGCTCATTTATCTCCTTGTTAATAGGTTCCTGCAGGCTATCTACTTAATTACTCGCTTGTTTAGCTAACAAACACTTGTGCTCAGATCGCTAAGTCCGCAGCCATTTGGCCAGCCAATCTCGACTCGCTAGCGAAAAACGTTCCAGTCCACTCATTAAGCTCTTGACCCCCACTCTCTACAACTTGCTACTTATGATGACTCCGCATTCGTCTCACATAGAAAGTATCGTTCATTTTACGGATGACCTTTATTTTTAATGATCGCTCCGAATTACTCACAACAGATTCCGATTTACATTAAATATATCCAGATATAACTCACTAGCTACTTATCCAACCCTTCCTTTATATCACCAGGCCGGTCTAAAAAGAGTGAAAAATAAAGTAATATAATAAGTAACAACAACTAGTCATCTCATTTTCGGATTCTTTTATCACCGACATTTAGAACCTCTGATCATCCCTACTGTGAAACTTACAACTCAGATTATTCTGCTAAATGTTATGCCGACGCAATTGTTGAAAAAACGTTGCGCTTTACAATTACAATTTCAATTCGATGAAGAATAGACATGCTTCTACTCTGTGTCCACAAACTACATACAGTCGTGTGGCAACAAGAGCCCTTTATCCTGAAGGTCATGAAAACTACAACAGAGGTTCAATGAGACTAATTTAAATTTATCACAGGAACGAACACACAGGTATAAAAGCACAGTACGCCGATACGCAAGAGTGCATCTGACTCAGGCTTCTTAATAGAAGTCCTGTAAATCGAACAATTAAGAGTACAGAAGACTCCATTCACATTAGGGCAATCATCTTTAAACTATTAAAATTTAATTAAGTCGTTATTTGCAATCCTGTTAAGCGATCAATACATTTAGAATGCTTAATCTAAAATGTTTCAGGTTTCACGTCCGGCGTAGCCGTTACGCTTTCCCCCAGACAGCAGACTCCCAACACGAAACGAAATGTGTTTATGCCCGGGTTCGAATCTGGGCCACCACGTATTTTTACGCAGATACGTTACCCACTATGCTGTTACAGGGACAATACACAATCTAAGGCAGAGCAACGCGCTGTCGTCAACTAAAATAATGGAATCGAAACTTATGAATGCATTTCAGGGATCGGTTGAAATTATTACACGGAAGACACAGATAACGTTTTGTTCGACCACCGCAATGAGAGGCACGTACGTTAGAATTCGAGCAAAATTTATAAGTATTTAATGAAGATCAGGGAAGAATAGCAAGTGTTCATTATGTATCCTATAAATCACATTACTGGTATCGCTAACACCGATCAAAACGAAATAAACGAACAGGAAACCCAAGAAAAGGTGGAGCACCATCCCTTAAAAACAAGATGGAAAAACCTGGTGGCTTTAGCAGTCTAATTATGCGGATGATGTATGTATAGTTATGCCATTGACCGACTCATTGCCGGTACAGAATGAATGAACAAAAAGCTCTGTTGTAATTAGCTATTGTCGACACTCGATTTTATTGGAATCACCTCAGTGAGCAAAAACCCTCAAGCACAATGAATCAGGATATGCATGCACACTGTTCCGCATTCATCATTTATAAAGCATAACACGATCCGGACTTATAATTTGGCGGTCGATACAAAGCGGTAGGCGTCTGTTGGACAGTCTTGGAGTTGAAGACTACGATTCGATGGCTCTTTGTTATTTTCCACTTTACCAGAGCTTCTATGAAAAGCATAACATTGACTGTGGCTAGTATAGGGGCTAATGAGGACTATGACAAGAAGTATGTCTATTATTATTATATATGTATGTTAGAAGTGTCTATCAAAATAGATGATTCTTTCGCTACTGCCACGCTTAGGTACCTTACGCAAAACAACATATCAAGCACGAAATTGGGTTTATTTTTTACTGTAATGTAGTACAGAACATATGCTGGGCACCGAACAAGCCTCTGAATGCTTGTGATTAGATAGCCAGACCAAACTCATTGCCTGTTCCTACAGACCTTATAAGAGTCTGTAAATATCTGAAGTTAAAGTTTATTATGGAAAATTTCGTCTTCCAAGGAACAAATATTATTTGATCAGTAACTATGAGAACTATTAACAAATGACAACTTATCGCCTTATACTACATGTCGTCAGAACTTATACTGATAGTAAAAAGAAATACCAACTCTCTTTGGATCCAATATTTGATTCAAAAGGTTGAAGTTGACAGGAAAGTTATCTGAGTAACATAAGTTCAACGACTTCAGTTAAAATGCAAAAAGGAAATTCACCGCGTTAAGGCATTTGTCCCATACGCATCATAAAACGGTTGATTTAAAGTTTGTTTGCGATATTCACCTTGCGTTAGCCTTTTACGAGTTAACTTGCATCAACAATGAAAATTCCCCTAACTAAGCACATGCTGCTCCCCTCAGGTCGTCACTTTCAGGGGCTGCTATTTTCACTGGCAATAGTTCCCGCCACCACCGTAAACAATTACTTAATGCCTATAGCTGCAACTTAAAAGTGTCAAATTTTCGACAAAACTGTACTCTTTAAACAAGGCACGGGAAAGAAAATAGGTTAGACTAGTTTTTCGTCGAGTGTAATTCTGCTAGCCATCATATACTAAGTCTTCCATGTAGCGGCTTTCATTTTTTCACGGTCTATGCTATTCTACTAGAGTTGGCTTAATAATACAACCGCTAAATATATCCTTTTCTAGATCTAGAACCCTTTAACAACACTACCGCGTTAAAGAGCTTTTTACGTTATGCAGCGTGAGACCAGCGTCCTTGCGCGATAAACCTTGGCCGCAAATTTAACTAATATCAATTAATTAATTCAGATTAATTCAGCTTCGGCTAAATGCTAAACCCCCGATTTCGTAGTCATACATCCGGAACCCTCGGCCAGTACAATCTGTACCAACTTTTGAAAGCAATTTCTTAGAGATAGAATATTTCTCAGTTTTTAACTGTTCTGATTTACAAAATTATCGCAAAAAAACTGATGCGCGGTGCTCGTGTATCAACTAACAACTTTCAAGTGTCAAACCAAGCTTTTAAACTATAACAGTTTTTTCCACAGCCTTTACTCTATTTACTCTTTCTATTACTCCCCTGCTCAGTTTTTTCCTTCTTCATAAAAGGATACTCTCATCGTCGCTTCGTTGTCGGCGTCCGGCAGTTTTCTTAAGGGCTTACGAGCTCAGAGGAGCACATCGGATAACATAATGCGTGCGCGGAAAAGCAGTGAGGATTTTCTAACACTTGATCCTTTATTGAACCGATTTTTACCACATTCTGCCGTTATCGACGCCTACACACAGTCAAACGTAAAAACATATTTCTTGGGAAAAGCAATACTCACTACTGTTTAACCATCTAAGGATTTTCCAAGTCAATATTGCTTTTACAATAGTATTAGTAGACCAAGTAGAACCAACTTTGTGAGTTTTATCCTTTGACAAATTACGTTGAAATCGTGTATTTTTAAGGGCCTATCAATGGTTAAATCAAATATCGTGACGGATATATATACATATATATGTCGTCTAATATTAATGTCTATATGGCGGACATATAGATATTAACAGTTAGCTTTCTAATGACCCTAACATTTTCAAAAACATACTTCCGTGAAGATCCGTTGAGGTCTTTGATAAAAATTTCGATTGAATGTTGATACCTACGGAGGAAACCTACGGATGGCCCATGATATGGAAATCCATCATTTTAGAACAATAAGTGGTATATAATAGGCAACAACTTTAATGAAACTATTAAGCCTAAGAAGATTCTAAGCTGAACACAAAAAAGCAAAACACGAATCAGCATGGACTTGTTATACAGTCATGAACCAAATAAAGCCTATTTTGTTGCTTCTGGAAACTTTGAGGTGTGTATTGGCTAACTGTAATTTATTTTACTAAAGATTCTATGATCTCCTGGACTTGATTTATTTTTCCGTAATTCAACTAAGTAATTCCGTAAATTTAATGAACCTTCTACTTTCCGGCATCAACTGAGTTTTTCCTATATATATATATATATATATATATATATATGAAATAAAACCGGATGTTTTCTGCACGAATCACGTGATCTTTTTAGGAGACATTAACGATAGTTGCCTAATTTCTGCTTGAGGTAAAGGCCAAATTTTTCAACTAAATACGAAAGTAAAGCATCCATACAAGACGCGCAGCTCCATTTTGCTAAGCTCATTACGGTTTTGTCGGCAATTCAATAATACACTGCTGATCCAGTTTTTAAACGATTGTCTATCATTTATCTTACTTGTTGACGCCGTATCGGTAGACTCCAGGCATACTGGGTATCGACTCTTCGGCGTCTGGTGAGTCAGTGATGAATAAGGGCCACATAAGGTTCTCGGGACGTAGCTGTGTGCTGCTTTGCTGCCACACCCGTAGCGTTGGTAGGAAATAGCCAGAGTGGAGGTGCTGCGAGAAGCTGCCTGTCGACGGCATCGTAGGCTGCAGCGGAGTAGAATGGTATAAAACTGTCAGTTCGCTTAAACTTATGCTAATAACTGAAATCAGTTATTAGGACGTAATTTCCCGTCATTTTGTGACTTGTAGTAAACCTCTTCATACAAGAATACGATTCGAGTATAGGTACCTCTGCTTTGAGTGTGTCTTCTAACGTGTTCATTACATTCAAGTGTTTTATAGATTTTTTGTGCTTAGGTTATAATTGAAAATCATGACATCCTTTGAATACTGAAAAATGCATATTTTGTTTGTTAAACTAAAGAATAATAACTAATTTTAATCGAAACACATTTAATAGAAAAAAGAAGTTGTTTCAAACGAAGTAATTACATCAGCCGGGATTTACACATTAGAAAAAATAAAAGCTAGTTAAACCACTGAGTTAACGACAGAACGGAACGCGTTAGATAGATACATCGACAACTCTAATTGCAATTGCGATCAACACAAATGACTACGAGATAGAAAAGGGTGAGTTTATATGGGCCCACATTTGCTTAACGTTGTCGTTGAAATTAACTGATGCCACGGAAGAAAAATCAAGCATATTCGCCAAAAACTCTTCTATTATGTCGCCTAATTCGTCTACTACAAAAGATTTGTTTCCGACAAAAAAAATATCAATTTAAGGCATTCATGTCCTGGATTATATATAAATGGGCCAGTGGTAGAGCTATATGAGCTACTGATAATTTCGTACGATGAAGCCAGAAAGCTTTCTTCTTGGAAAAAGCTGTGACTCTAACTTAGATATTATGCTTTATAATCATTTAATGTTAAGTTAGGCAGGTTAAAATTTGTCTACCATAAACCCATACGAAGTCCTGCTTCGCAGTGTGGAGCCGTGTTTTGGGTGGCTCAAACACTGACACATTTCCAAGTTTCGTTTTGTCCAAAATGTAACGATAAACAGTAACAATGTGCGCACTATCCCTTAAAGCAGTGATGCCTGACTAATTATGTTGTATAAATAATTATTGGTAGTGAATTCTAATTTATGATCGTGCTTAACCGCAATGTGTTGTACGCCAATAGCACCATCTCCTCCAAACGATGCATTACACTGAGAAGGTCGTCAAAAAAAAACTACATGCAATACGATGTTGACAGTAACAAATGCAAAAAGTAAAATATGATGCTCTAGCTTAACTTCGTATATATTAGCTGAATTATTGGCTGAATTATACTCTAAAACCACTTAGTTTCTTCGCTTTCCTGCATCGGCAGCATCCCGTTCCATAAATGCTCGAGGTGCAGGAGCTCATATAGCCCCTAGAATGGCCATGCAATACAACTTATCAACTCTTATATAAGACTCAAGTTAATTGCCGAAACAGTAAAAAGACGAACTACTTATTTTACCATTTTATAGTTGAGGAAAACCTCGACGAAATGCAAAAACCGTACTTGGCAATTCCATAAAGCCCCATGCTTTGAAACCGAACCGAAGAAAAAAATTAATAACCCGAATGGAACTTAATTTCTGATCTGTATTTATCTTCAACATTTCGAACATTTTGTAGAGTAGACATGTTTAATTAACGTTTCCTTAAAAAAAATATAGGGCGACCTGTATAGCCCTCTTTTCTATATCTTCCTTATAGTTAGTTATCGGATTCGTGATTAAGCTTCGCTTATTTGTTCGTGACTCCTGTGTGGTTTGAAATTGGATATAAACTAGACGAAATATAATGAACTCGTTACAACTGCAAGCTACTGTTGAAAATATGCAAAGTCATATTTGGTTTAACTATTTTCTATGATACCTGTGGGTCAATCACATATAGACGGTGGGCGAAAAAAATGGCACCATAAGGACCACTTCGATCTACTATCACTATACTGGCGTATAATAATTAATCTCCTTACCTAGAATATTATTAGTTTGTGCCGATATCGAGCTGTTTTAGCTGGATATAAACATGCAAATTGTGTCATTAGACTTGCACTACTGGACTACCTACGATCACTTAACGTAGTGCGTCCGAAGTACTTCCGAATGGCGGCTTAGGTTGTCGAAGTGCGGGGTCTTAGTGCATGTAAACTGTGCAGTAGCAAGTAAATAGTTTAAACGTAAATATTAGTTTGCGGTATGGTAGCTAACCGTTAACATCTTAAGAAAATATTGCCAAGAGATATGAATACCGCGAATGCTGGTACACTATAACCTGCGACTGTTGGATAATATCCCCAGAAAAGTCCTTCTCAGAGATTCAAAAATTCAATTTTTCTCATATATAGATTTCCTGTCTTTGATCCCCTAAGAAATATTACAGTTTATGAGATAAGGTCATAATTCAATTATTATAAGGTCGACGTAAGTTGTACTAAGATTATTCAAGAATATTTCCCTCGAGACAAGAGCATTGGAGCTGAATAAGTCTTTTTTCAGCTGTTCATACACCTTAGTTAATAATGAACTTTGATATCTCCAAGGAAAAAAGAAGGTGTTTCACCGAGCATTTGCATCGTCCTCATTATTCTGAACATTTTCAGCTACGATTTCTAGACTGCTGTGAACCAACGCGTGTTTATGAATTTCTCCGATTCTTGAAAGAACTCGGATTGTTTACCTGACCACTTTTTCTCTCTTTCTCAAGGTTCTTATGAAGGCTTAATCAATGTAGTCGAATAATGATGGCAACTATGGTAGCGTAACAGGGATCACGTATGAGCAAAGTAGTATTAGTCTTTGCTTCAATTTCACATCAACATATACACTGTTATCTCGAACAGAAATAAGAGACTTTGATAGGGGTTTTTTTTAATGGAGTAACGAAATAAGAACACAATTTCAACAACCACCTTTAAACAGCTGGACTGGTATGGACGGCCAAGCCTCTTTTTAAGAAAGATAAGCCATTGCTACTACAAGTCCCGCTAACGACACATACTTAACGTATTTCAGGACGCGACTAAACATATCTGTTTTTAAAATTAAACGAACTAATACTAGCTCGGCAGTCGGTGTTTCATCCATTAGATGGAACAGTTTAAGTTTCCTTTTTTAATTAAGCCACACCGGAAGACAATAATTTCGGTTACAGAAAGCAAAACTTCATACACTTTAATTCCACAATAGTGAGTTAAAATTTTTAATGAACACACCAGTATAGATCCTGCAGTGAACAAGTAACTTTTTTTTTTCTAGAACATCCATTAACAACATACAATGTGTTCGTGTACAATTCATTCTAAGTATATTAAATATTATGTATATATATATATTATATGCATATATAAGTATCATATATAATATATATAGGATACCAGTGTCTAATAACTGATAATAGCTATAATAAAACGGAATTTGAAGTTACGAATAGCCAGAAGTTTTATAAAGAGCCCTTTAATGCCTGTAAGAAGATGCCTCAAATTATGCTACAGCAGTATATTTCAATTAAATCTACTCTTCGTAACTACTTGTAAAGATAATTTATAAAGTTAACATCACCGTTTAAGCAGCAATCTTACATAAAATCAGATGAGGCGCTTGATTTGTTATACTATTGTCTAATATACGTCGTTTCTAATACATTTTTATAGGCTTTCTGACAAACCCTGAACTTATTTGTTCTCTGTTACCATAACCAGTACATGAAACTCAAGACACTTGATTACTTAGTTTTGTGTTTGGACTTATAGATTTAAGATCTGTCCTTAAAGTAAAAAACCGTGGCTCTTATATCGTTGTAACTAAGAACGAAAATTTGTTCCTGGGACTATCAGCCCATCGCATCGTTACAGACCCCATTTTTTCAACAGTTCGTTGCTTGGCAGCCTATCACAGTAGCACTTGTTGTCATTTGAGAATTCTCAAATTCTTTGCCTAGATTAGGCTATTCTCTACGCAGGTACATCAGAAGGCTCAATGCAGGTTTAGCCAACAGCTCAGGCGGTTGAAATAAAAAATGAATGCTCAATACTAATAGAATGAAATACAGCCAACCAACGAAAAATTGTATCTAACGATGTTTATGTAAGTGCATCTGGCGTAGATGTATAATGTACTGTTTAACAGCCATTCCAGGTTAGACTTAACTATGTCTATTAGAACAACAATATTATTTCCTTCTGGATACTAGCTATAAATACCAAACGTTTTGCCCGAACATCAATGTTTTTATTCAGCGAATTATTAAATTTTTGACTGTTGAATTTCGTGCTAGAACATATGCCTTCTCCAGGCTAGATTCATGAGCTTCATGCTAATATAAAATGCATTACAATATAGACATTCCTTCATATACGCGACGCCTAAACATAAATTATTGTTTGAATGTAAACTTGCCTGGTGTAAAATCTATTTTTCTAATAATCTGACCAATCTTTTTTGAAGAGTCTTTTAGTCCTTGAGAGAGAGGCCTAGTGCTATTGTTCTTAAACGCCCTGTCCTATTATCATTATGTATGGGCATATATACTCTTAAATTGAATATTGGATAAGATGGTGGAAATCTGTCGTGTACGGTACATCACGCGATGTTGTATTCTACGCCAAAGTCTTTATCGTCAAAATATATTTTTCCGCCATTATTCATAACGAATGGACGCAGGCAGCACTTTTCTGGTCACTTGTTAACATGTTTTTGTTTGCTACCGAAATGGAAACCAAATAAATACAGTGCTGCGATTAAGATGCATGTCCCACTAATCAGAAACAGGTTTTTATTAGACTGTGCACATTCGAAATAATCCAATAAAAGTTGTTCTAACTAACCATAGATTTAAACTGACTAGAGCTGTAGGATAAGAAAAGGTTATCTATTTGTCGCAGAGTTTTGTCCATTGCTATCTACCATCGTGAAAGAGCGTTTTGAACATTACCTAGAGTTGTTTGGATAGAAAAACACTTGAATAATAATAATGCCTAAGAGTTGACTATTTATTTACGATGAAACCACAACACTTCTAAAAGAGACCTTTGGTTAACCTCTAGCGAAAGCTCCACGACGTTCGAGCACATTTAGCTTAATACACTTTTCCTCGTAAAGAGACAGCATGATGTAATACGAATGTTGTAAATTGGCTGTAGTGTGGATCCAGAGTGATGTTTATTAGGTTGGTTAGAAAGGTATGTACCATGCAAGCATAGAAGATCACATGAGCTGCACTCCTCACGCATATTCGCGGTGCTCATGCTAAATTTACGGAGAATAACAATTACAAACCTTCCTTGGTCCACTGGTCGTGCACTCTTTCCGTAGCCGTAATTTATAGAAGAACACCGATAAACGCTAAAATAGCTTCAGGGACGAGAACGTTCCATTTATACCTTTAAAATGATTAAGATAGCTACTTGTAAGGGAACTCGCCATTAATAAGCTTCTGCTCACTCCTCACTTGTTTTTATTTACTATTTTATGCTGAGTGGCAACAACCGTAAGTTAACATCTAATCTAAAAAATAGTGCAACGTGTAATTACTAGTGAGCCCTAAATTTCCAGGGTCGCTTTGTTTTTAATCGGACTCACAAATCTAAACATATCCTCGGTCTAGAAATCGTTAACTAGTCAAAATCAAATGTGAAGCATTGATCTTTTTTGCCATAGGCGTCGCCAGCTATTTTTTAGAGCTTCCCTAAGGTCCATTACCTAACGTCCCATAGTTGATATTTGAACAATCTAAAGAAACACGTACGCTTGCCGAATCCTATGGTAACAAATGTATGAATAAAATTACAATACACTGGCACACAAGTTATTGTTAGTTAGCAACACGGTTATTATTAGCACTTTTAGGTACATCATCCGGCTAGCTTTATAATCCCACATAGCATACTGAGATCAGAAGCAAGTCTTTTGAGATGATCATTTTCGAAAACAAGGCATCTTTTATTGGTCGTAAGGTTGATACTTGTCGAAAAAGTAACATAGCATGCATCATGTTAAGCAAAATGTGTACGATCGTATAAGAAATATTGCTCACATTTAGAAAGTGAAAACGTCTATGAAGCTTAACTTCCATACAAATAACTCAGTATAATATGCGGAGTATCTGGGCAGAATTTGAAAACCATTTATAGCGACAATGAAAAACATTGTGACTACAAATGCGCAAGGCAGCCTTGGGACGGGCCACGTCCTTCAGTCGTACGATGCGCATGAAGGCGGCAGAACTCATCAGTTGATTCAGTGCGTTCAAGGTTGATGTGAATGCTTATTTGCGCATGACATGCAGGGATCATTCAACTGTCTGAAAGGCCTGTAACTTTATCGCTGCTCTTGTCTGATCTATGAACTTACTTTTTTCCTAAGATAGATGAAAAGACCCCTGCTTCTTTTCAGAATTTACATTCGCGAAAATCCTCTGTACGAAATACCAAGTAAATTATCGCCTAAATATATTCGCTATCTTTGAGAACCTTGTCGTATCAGTGTTTTTCATTGATATTTAATGTGTGTTATGATTAACAGTGGTTACTTTAAGCTTAATTTTTATTTATAACTAAAAAATCCTAACCATAAAAAATAAACTGTCTCTTGATAGCTGCCAAAACACTTGATTATGTTAAAACTGAAATAATAACCATAATTGATTCAAAATCTTCATTATATAACATATTTCTTAGGGGACCTTCGTTTTCATATAATTTGAAATACTATATAGACAAAGGGCATAAATTCAAATTATGGGTGCGTCAGGCTATTAAAAATTATATTCCGAAGCTGCGGTATCGTATGGAATTGGCAATTGCTTTATAGCCACATAAAGGCTGCGATAAATTTTAAACAACGTTTAAGGTGTGCGTCATATGTTAACGATAACACTACGATATGATGACACGGCAATAGGATTTTGCATTACTTTCAAAATCAACTAAAAATGGTAATTTTCTCATGGCACTATAGAATACGAAATCGATCGTAGATTACTTAATCTGATTGAACCCTTAGTTCGTGGCCTTTTTGTATTACAGAGGGCGTTTTAGGCCCACAGATTTAATCTAACTGTATCTTATGTGTTAACGTAGCAGGACATCTGTTTGAATCTTCCCAGCAGTTCCCGCAATCGTCGCTAAAATATTTTAAGTACTGATTAATTAAGAATCATAGTTAAATGTGAGAACTCTTGTAAAAACCTTATTTAGTATTTCTGCTTTATATCTTAAAACTAAAAATAAGATAAAGTAACAAAATAATCCTCATCATCATACATCGTAGATTTTTTCCATGTAATTATTGTTAGACTACTACTGGATTTAAATGAAGGACACTTCTCAGGAAATTTCACTCAAATGACAAGAAACCATGTTGTATAACCGGTAACTTCAAGTGCGCGCACCTTTAAGCTGAAACCGGCAAACATCTTGAACTGTTTCCTCCTTTTGTCTCTTGACTTTTTGTATTTTCGTCTGGCTTTATGACCACAAAAAGCAGGTGCACAGCAGCTACAGCAAGTCTAGGCGTGTTAAACACAACTTCGATGCGAAGGACTATCCGCGGGTCACTACAATGAAGGCGGCGCACACAGCACGTATCGTACGCGATGAGGAATGGCTGCAGCCGAAGCTACCGTTACCACCTGGACGGATCGATTGTTATCCGACCGGCTTCCCGGAGAGAATTAAGCGAGTTACACCCAGTTGCAGGGCGGCAACCGCCGACCACCGCCGCGCGTTAATGGACAGCAAATACCTCACTACTGTTCGTCCGGTTCGAGATTCCGGTCTCCCTTCACACTCAGAGCTACGAATTCAAAGCTAAAGCTCTACTCCAGCTAACTAGCTAGCCAGCTTATTGGACACGTTTATTCGCTTGTGAATAGCAAGTACGACAGGCTGGCGAGCAGCAAGCCACCTACCACCGAGGCGATACGCTGGCTGCTCACGCGCCTGGAGGAGAGCAGGTACTCAGGATAGGACAGACACAAAGAAGGCTGACTGGCTGGCAACAGATACAGGGCTGACAGGCGGTTCAGTCGAGGGCAGCGAAAGCCGGTCTGGAGTGACGGGTGGGAGAGGGCACCCCGCAGCTCCCACCCAATTATCAAACATTTCCTCTTACCCCCCCCCCCCCCCTTTCCTTGCTCATCTACCCACCAACTTACCCCATTCAAGCAGAACCAGCAAACTCTTTTTAGTCCCCTCGTGTAAGTCATATCCGCCCTTCCTCCACTCGCTCCCTTCAGAGACCAACAACGCTGTCCCTCTTCATCAGGCAGTCCATTTGGCTCCAATCATACAGAAAGAGTCACATGCAGCAGTCCATCGGCAAAACGGGAGACGTCTGTTGGACGACTGCAGGCACTAGGCATACTGGGATTATACAGTCAACCATAACGTAATTTTTACCAAATACAATGGAAATATGATGTACCGGACAGCTGTGCCTTGCCATCAACACGAACTACAAGCCGGAATTTGTTGTCACTGAAACGACAATAAAGGGACATTGAAAAGTGCGGCTGAACTTACTACTGTACAAAGATCCAGATATTGTCGAAAAGAAGTATATCAAAAGTTTTAGCTCAGTAAATGCTAACAGTTCACTCACTGAGGAACTGTATTGCCCTCGCGTGATGTCGTCAGAGCCCTCTCCGAGGGCGTTCTATTTGTTTATTTGAATTCGCCCGCGCTAATCAATTTAAGAATCAATTCAACATAAGCACCAAGATTTAATTGGTACTTATCGTCCATCCAAAGGAAATTTTAAAGTAGATTTCGTAACAGGTGGTAAAATATAGTAAAACAAAATAGTTCGAAATGTAGCCGCATTTGGTGTTATCGCCTGGTTACTTTTTGCCATTTCAAATACCTCATTCAAAACTGGCGCCATGAAATCGTTTTCTGATTTCGTTCAGCCTGCTCCGCCATATTAGCATCCTAACTTTCTTTGGTAGAAATTCATGGGGTCTGTCAACTAAAGGTGTTCGTTAATCCTGTGGAGATATTAGGTCGAGGAAAAGGTGGAACTGGGCTTGACAAGGGTGGCGCTAGGCGTCACGAAAAAGTTTTGAGTAATGACATTCAAAATAAACCTGCTCTTGATTAGTTTATCGTTGCAAATTTGCTACACTTGAGAAGGATGTTATTCACCTTAGACTAACTACCTTTGTAATAATATACTTTAATGTTTTTTTACCGAAAATAGGCCATTCGGGTCTTGAACTTTTTTATGGATCTTTAAATTTAATTGCTTTCGGAACTTCTTACGCTATTTATAATGCCAGTGAATGAAAATCATCAATACTGTTAAAAAAGTGAACGCTTCAACAAGTAAAAATTCGAGTTATTAATTCTAGAAGTGCCGATTAATCCATTTCCTCGTTATATAATATTATGATACTGATAAGAATTGGCCAACTAATTTGCTTCCGCAACCCAAACTGCGCTAGACATTCCTCAATTATTTAGACACATACTAAAATGCTTTTAGGACTCGACGCAGAGCTCTTTCTGTATAGGATATGCTTAAAAGGTATTATGTTTGATAGTTCCTATCAAATATATTATTATATGAACATCCTTGCGAAACAGTTGCAAGTAATGCCGAAAGTTGTCTCTTATTTCGACGAGACGTAACTGTGTGGCTGGAAATTCACTTGGATTTATAGCAGATGCGCGAACTTGAACCCAACAAATACTGAACTCAGCTGAATAGTCTTTCGCATTGAGTATCTATACTGGGGAATGATGTGAACCTCACGTAAGTAATTGTGCGTGATCGGAGAGATAGCAGATTAAGGCCGTGCAACGAACTGGCACAAACTAGTTGAGCTGGCACAGTGAGAGCCTCCAGTGGCGTTGTATGGATATACAACATATGTACCATATAGCTGTGCGTCGACGATGTCTCTTTTACAGATCATCATAAGCAAGACATTGATGAGTCGAGACAGATGACGGCGCGCAGACTGGTAATACATGAATGTATATGAACAAGCAGGTATTTTTAGTACCACTTGTACTAAAATTGCCCAGTGTAACTCACACTTGCTTGTGATTTCCAGGCATCAGGCATCTCGTTCAATGTAGTGAAATGAAATGTATCTTCACCCCGATCTATGAAAGGACTAAAAGTGTCCTGGAAGTGTTTTCTACGAACGTAATTCGTGATGCAGTTACACACAGGAAGCACGTAGAAAAGAAGATGTTGGCCGCGATGGACGTTGCCTGCGTCTCGAAGGGACAAGGCCGCACTTTGTATGGCTTCGGCGGTTAAACGCCAATGTTGCAATTATGTACAATGACTCTGTACCATAAGTTATAGCCCCCATGGCCAATACTTTCTTCCATGTATAATAATAAAAACAACACATTATAAATCATTCACACGCCAACACGAGACGAACAGCGGGAATAAGCTAATTAGGTGGGACTTCGGTCAAGCTTATTTTAAATGTTATTACTTAAGTATCATTAAGCCTCCTTCCGTCTTTTCCGCCTTCCAACATCTTCAGGGAATCAACGAGTGCCTCTCCCTGACAGAGAAAGTTGTCTCCGACTAAGGGGAGCTAGGAGAGCCAATATGCCGCAAAATAACACGCTCTTTGTTCTCGTACAACAAGAGACACTGTACGTGATTATGTATTACTGTAATGTCTCAAAAATAGAGCTGACCACTTATTTCTTGCAAGATTGCTTAGCAGTTCTATTTAGTGTATGTGTAAAAACTAAAAACAAATTTGTCAGAATGGATCATGAAATTTTTCCGAAGGGCCTAAAATTAATGTTACTATCTTCCCAAATTTCCCTTAATTTCACTTTCTCATCGTTCGTTTATTTTTATACACCATTTTGCTCTCTCGTTTCCACCGAGTGATTTCATGCGAACGGTTAACGGGTTTTGCTCTGAGTTTAGACTCCGAAAACCTATAATTCCAGTGCAGAAAAGCATGTATTTTTGACACCTGTTGTATTCTACCTTTCGTCAAGGGCACACAGCTGCCAAAACAGCTCGGGATATGCACTTGAACGGTGACGACTTCATACATGAGAGGAATATAGTTTAGTAAGTTCAATAATAGTATCTTAGGGCTGGAAAATGCACCCCCTCACACGACTGCCCCTTCGAGGTCGATAAGAGCCATGTTACTACAGACGGCCAACAAACTCGTCCACGCCATTACGACAGTCATGTGATTGTCAGCAGGCAACTTGAACCTATGGGGGTCGTTTAAATATCAACAGCTTGGATGCCTTACGGAAATCTACAAAGAGCACAAATGAAAATGGCCTTTCGTTACCTCTCAATACTCCGCCCGACGTCAAGCCCCTAGCATCGTCTGAACGAGGGTACTCAACTGAAAAGTCTGAGCAGAGAAGGTGAACTCACCTTTCTATATGGCAATGTTAGATTACACTGGGTAAAAACGATTAACGCCGCGCCCCGAAACCTTGGAAACAGTGGAAGTTTGCCCCAAACTATTTTTTGCAACTGTGATAAGCGTATCGGCGTTCCTTGGCGGTTTGATTAATGATTTTTTCATGATAAAGCTGTTAAGCTGTTAAAGCTCGAAAAAAGAAGTACACAAGTGGTCTGTAACGTCCAACTATCTGTTAATACAGTGTATGTTTATAATCCTGTTATTTTTGAGCCATTACGACTTTTTAGATACTAGTGATTTTATATTCAAATAAAATTTTCTTAAGACTCTTTAAGAGCTTATAAGTACAGACAATATAGGTTGATGTACGTATTTTTCAATTGGTACAATTGAAGCAGGACCTCGATATCGTGCCTTGTAGCATATTTTTCTCAAAAAGCACTTGGGTATAAGTTGTATAAAATTTGACAAGTCAGAAATCAGTTCAATACTAATGATCTTTATTAAGAATTTAAAAAGATACAGGTGTGCTATTCCGAATACTGGTCCCCGCCATGAGAACAGTCTTAATTTTATCTGTACGCGCCACCTTCTTCAGTTGAATAGTGTGGCCTTTTTTTAGATTGTTGTCGTATCTCAAATATTAAAAATACATCTTAATAATATATTTTAGAATTTTACTACGATAAAGGCACAGAGCCTGCCCGGGCCCATAAAATACTTGCTATTTATAGCCAAGATCCCCTATCAGAAAAACGGCTTAAAAATAGGTTTGTCGCCTTTGTTCTGTAAATATCGATAAAAAAAAATGCTTCTCGTAGTGGTCGACGAACTGCGGAAAAAGTTGGTTAAACGATGTTGAAGTTGAATTCGACTGGCACAAGAACAGCCCACACACACAGTGGCACAAGAAGAGGAATGCATGATGATTATTATTACCGCCTAACAGAGCGATTGGCTAGGGCTTATATTGTCATCAATTAACAAGAGTAAAAAAAAAGCCATCCAAAAAAACCAAGCGGAACTAGTGAACAGAAAATTTTCGAAGTAATATTAAACTATGTTCCGAACCAAAGCCCAATGCTTTGAGGGGTCCAGGGCTTAGTGAGTGAGTATCAGGAAAACACCATAGTCTGTGAAGTCTGGTTTGCATAATGCACTTGCCCTAAACTTCCATAAAAAAGCGAACAAAGAATATATCGTCTCCGGTTATGACAATACCGGATCACCTATACGTTTAGCAGAAACTGAAAGAAATTGTATGGGAAATTTTAATGCATCTGCAATATAGCCCGAGTCTTGCATTACCAGATTATCATTTGCTTCCATTACTGCAGAACTATTTTAATGGTGTTAATCTAGTTCGAATGGATGGATGCAAAGATCATTTGTCACAGCCTTCCACTTAAAAATCATAAAAATTCTTTCGAAAAATGGCCGAAACTTATCGGTCAGAATGACGTATATTTGGTTTAGTATTTCTATTTTGCTATATATAGAAAGCGTACTTGCTCCAAGTTTAACTTAAAGACAGTGTGTCCTTTTTCGACAATTTACTATATGCAACTAATCAGCTGTTATATGCAAATCCACGCTTTTCGTTATAAGCATGTTGTGTCTCATAACGCCGTATCAGATAACTCAGACGTTTTATAAACATTTACTCAGCTTTTTGTTGATAACCATACCCCTT